TAATGTATAAAATCACACGACTTCTTATTCTCAATAATTGATTGCGGTAACCGCAACTGCTAGAAGTGAACTGGCCATACCAATATGACCTTTTCATACTGGCTTTACTTGAAATTAATCTATATCTAAGTTTGAAGTTTATTCAATTTTCTAAAGCTTGGACAGTTTAAAATCATGTGATACGGGAAAAAATCTAGAGTGGGCTGGGGAATAGAGCTTTCCACAGGATTATTGTAGCATAGTGGTGTTACTTAACAAATGGTCCAGTCATATGTGCAAGCTACTTTTGCTGCTTATATATTGCTTAATAATCCATAGAGTGACGGTACCTGAAAGTTTTTCATATTTAGGTTCTAGCAAGCATTTTTGCCTTTTAAGCTCTATGTATAGATAACTATTAATGGGTTCTTTACTGCATAACCTATCAACTCCATTGTCTACTTTGTTACAACCATAGACAATGTTCCTAGTTGTGTTCCAAATGAAAAACCTAAGTCCCCTTTTATAAAACATAGTCTTAACTCCAAGGGAACTTTTAATAGATAACAATGAATAAAATAAAACACCTATCAGTATAACGTGAAATGAAATCCTATCTGATGAAAATAATAAAGTCTAATTTAAGTAAAAGTCTAAATATTCTATTTGTTTCGTCTGGAGTGAAGTTGACTTTAGTTGTTTCCCATCATTTTCTTCCCCTTTTTTATTTCTTCATGAAATAGTCAAATAGGAGATTTATTTGCAGTACAATAATATGGCACCAGGGTTAGGTTAATTTTAAAAATTGCTCCTAGTTATAAGAACTTTGGGGTGTTATTCAAGTACATTCTCCTAATGCTCTTGGTGAAATTTGCCAGAATTCATGCCCTTGAACCTTAGTGATGGTGTTTGATTCTGAGTGTTAAAACCAGAATAAAATGAAGTTGTTTAATTTTATGTGCTCATGAACACGTGCTATTGTTACTTCTCCTCTGGATAGCCTCTTGTATGTAATAAGGTGATGTAAAATTTCTGCGTATGTTCTGCTATATTCTCTCTCTCCTCAGTTTTTGCTGTTATGAATTTTGATAACCATTGGCGACGTGAAACTGCGTATAACCTTTCATTGTTTTGTGGTTGTTTAACTTTGTAATTTCCAGGAAGTTCTTAGAATCAAGAATGAACATCCAGATGACTGCAATTGTATCGTCAATGATAGAGTTAAAGGTCGTCTTAAAGTAACTCGTGCATTTGGGGCTGGCTTCCTCAAACAGGTTTGTACATAACTTGCCAGCGATGTTAATTCTGTTACACATTCTTGTTATCTATGTGTTTGTGCATGCATGTGTACTGGCTCATCTATTTGTGTATTGAGTTTTATTTGAAGGGAGGACGTGTATTTAGAATTTATCTAAAATCCTGAAGAGCTTTGTAACTGTGTGGCAATATTATCTTAAATAGTAATATGGTCTTCAACTTCATTCTATCAATTTTCCCAATTTTCAAACTCTCCATGTGCTTTTGGTTCTTTGATAAACAATTTGCTTGTTTATTTTTGATACTGAAAGTTGATTCTCTGGAATCTTGGTTTCAATGTATCAGATTGAGACACTATGCCTCTGGGAAGAAAGATATCATTGCAAAAATACCAAGGATATGTCGTACTCATTGCATATGCCCCATTGATGACATATACTAATATACTCTACCACCTTCATTCAGATAACTTTGCGATTTTTAATATTGGTTCATTAAATAGTCTGCATGTTTACTGCTACTTAGTTCTTCATGTTTGTTAATTAGTTTGCATCTTCTATCTATTGAACTTAGATGATGTATTGGCATGATTAAATGCTTCCCATCACATTGAGACATGATGTTTTGATGTGCATGCCCTGCTGGTTTCTCTAATGCTTTATGGTGCATGTTGATGCAGCCTAAATGGAATGATGCCTTGTTGGAAATGTTTCGGAATGAGTATATTGGTACTTCAGCTTACGTATCTTGTTCTCCTTCTCTTTGCCACCATAAGCTGTGTCCCGTGGATCAATTTTTGGTGCTCTCATCTGATGGATTGTATCAGTATTTGAGCAATCAAGAGGTTGTTAGCCTTATTGCAAATTTTATGGAGAAGTTTCCTGATGGTGACCCAGCACAACACCTGATAGAGGAGCTTCTCTTCCGTGCAGCCAAAAAAGCTGGTGACCTTTTTTTTCTTTTTAATCTTGGAAGTAGTTGAATATATTTGGATGAAGCATTTTAAGTAAAATATTGGTGATCCATAGTCCATACATTATTCTTGTACCAAGTTAAGTTGCTAGTTACCTGGTGAGGTACTATTTGATTCTTCTGTTAAGTTGTCATTTGAAACTTTGGCCATGAGATTTTGTCCTCACTTCTTATATTTGCACGTGCACTATGCAATTGTTTGTTATATAGTCGGAGATGATACTCTACAACTGATCACCAAGAATTAGGATTCTGAAATCATGTTGGATGTGAATGCTAGTTTTATGACAACTGGGTGCATATATGCCTGACGATGATGAAATATATCACTACGTTGAGACCTATTTGCACTACTACATAATGCACAAGTGTCCATCTTATTCTTCATACACCTGGTATAGTTGATTGCTCGTTTTCTTAGTCCTTTCTTGTACTATTTTCTTAAGAAGAGTACCGGGATATGCAACCTAATTAGGTCACTTAGAGGTGAAGATCCTGGGAGAACATCTATCTCTTGTTTTGGGGCTGTGGCTCTGGGGCAACAAGGTGACTAGAGTGAAGACTGAAATTGCCTATTTATTTCAAATTATTAGTGATTCAGTTAATATAATACCAGAAAACATTCTGCAAAATAGTTTTGTGAAATGTGGAATACGAGCAGTTCTCTCTCATGCGACTACTGGCTAAAATTGCCTTTCCACAAGCTATGCGAGTGTTGTAATTCAATGGTTTACTGGGAAGATTTGAGCAGGTAAGCTTCTGCATAAGGAGCTTTTCTCATAAGAAAAAAGGCATTCATTCCCATCCCCCCAACTCTTTGTTCTTCGCTCTCATCCCCCCGTTCTTTTAAGTGAAAGTAAACTGTTAGAACCACCTCAAAGGTCTAAATGTGTTATTATATTGGCATTTTCTCCTATGTCTTAAAGATAGCTGAGATGTTGGAGCTTTATAGTATCTAACAGTGTTAATGTTTCAATTAACATCAATACGAGCAAACACGTTGAGATTTGTTAACTTTGCGCTTTCTCAATTTAAACATTGGCTCATTGTTCCTGGTTAACTAAAATAGTAGCATTATATTTGTCCAAGATTGTTGTTGGTATGTCTAAGAGAGTGGGAGAGAAGCTTTTGGAACAATGTATTAAACATAGAGATGGTTGGGACTATGATGTTTTGATAGAGAAATAGAAGTGAGGATACAATATTAGTATTGTAGCGCTTCACTATGACATGAATGTCTTGGCCCGCTTGCTGGCTTAGCGGATGTCCATAAGGGGACGACAAGAAGATATTTGATAACTGTGAATGCAGAACTTCTGTCCAATAAGCATATGTACGTAGACACGGGGTATCGGATACTAATATCTTTATATGCATAGATTTCCTGATCTTCACTGGTTCAATGGATACAAGATACTAACATACAAATTTCATGTTTAAGCTTGCTGGTTCAACATTTGAATCTTTTCTTGCTTGGCATCACTTCTTGTCAGTTAGAGCTTGGGGAGATGTTTGACCTCTGTCTATATCTATTTCTCTAATAATCTCAAACCTCTCATCTTTGCTCTTCTAATTTTGATTCTAGGTTATATATATTGTTGGTTATTGTACGAGACAATCTTCATCTTATTAGCCTTGCATATTCTGAGTCAAATTGATATTTGTAGGAATGGATTTTCATGAGCTGCTGGATATTCCACAAGGCGACCGCAGGAAGTATCATGATGATGTTACGGTTATGGTGGTATCTCTCGAGGGAAGAATCTGGAAGTCGTCTGGAAAATACATATGACACCTCATTGCTGGCAACATTTCAAAGCACAGACAGTTAGGCTCTTGTTTCGATCCCCACCTGAACTGCTTGCGAGCAGCTTGGAGAATAACCTGCTTTCTGGGTCGACATACTTTTTCATCTCGGACAAAGCATGCAGTTGTAGGGAAGAAATCCTACATTACAGGAGGCAAGGTTTTCAATCCAATGCTCAAGCAATTGCAAAAAATGTTTTCAGGAATAGGAAATTTTTGTAGTTGGGACTGGTAAACTTCTCTGGAGAAATCAGCTTCAGTGGTTTTTTTCTCGTTTCTGATATGGAGGGTCTTTTCATTCATTTGTTCTTCATTTTGCGTTGATTTTAGAACTAGAAAGTATGTAGTTGGTTGGGGGGGTTCAGTTACTGAGCTTGATATCTGGCTTTTGTTGAAGCTGAGAATCTGTAATTTGAAAGGTGGATTTCTACCCATTCGGTTTACAAAGAAAATATTCAATTGAAAACCATGTGTTATAATTTCCTTTTAAGGTGGATTTCTACCTATGCAGTTTATATCAGTGTTTTAGCCCCTGTTTGGTCCGGAAGATTTTAATCCAAGTCAAACAATTGATATTAACCTCATCTTTTATAGGTCTCACAGCTTTGTAATCACACATTTCAAATTTTTTTATCACAATCTATTAAAAATCTAATTTTAATCCCTTACCAAACACCTCTTAAAACTTGGACTGGCTCGATGGTTCAACTGGAAAACCCCTAACCTGGTCATCAGTCTGGTCGTAAAGCGACTGGCCTGCAATCGACCTAGGTCAACCCACCTCGTCGTCTGGGTTGGTTCTGTTTATAAACACAACATTCAATTGAAACCCTAATCAAACTAAACTACTGCAAATGAGGTGTAATATCTAGGCATTATTAGTGCATCTATTATATGGATCATAACGTAGTTCTACTAGTCTAAAACACATAAGTTCTAAACATTGTTTTAGTTCATGATAACAGTTTTGATTTATGCTGTGCTCACTACTCAACATCCTTTTGATTGCAGCCCTGATGGTAGATCTTCTCGAATTGCAATGAGAAATCCTGCCTTACCCTCTCTAAAATGAGCAGCAAGTTTCTCCACATAAGAAGCAAGGGCAGTGGCTCTTGGCGTTGGATGATTTTGGCTAGACTACTCATCCATTCTTCGAATGCAGTGTGTGATGCACCAACTGATAGTGACTGGACATTGAGCCGCCACTCCTGTGAGCTCTTGGTATGCAAACCTGGATACACTCCATAGATAATTCCCATGTACAGGAGCTCGGGAGCTCTTTCGTTATGATTTCTGTTTTGGCATATATCAACCAAACAATTACAAAAGGGTCTCCTGGCCTCAGCCGCCATGTTTCTGAGTATGATTCTGAACTCTTCTTTCACAATGTCTAAGTCAGTGCTCTTTTCGTTTAGCAGCTTCACAGAGAACCAATTTTGTGTTAGCTTGCTCTAAAGAGGCTAGGACCTTGTTCATATTTTGTGTTAGCTTGCTCTAAAGAGGCTAGGACCTTGTTCATATCCTCACCTTGACAATATAATAAATTGGAGAGCAGGCACCCGCACAACCTATCATCGGGTTTTACCCCTCCCTTAACTGATGTATCGAACACCCGAACCAAATCATTGGTTTTCTTTGCCTCCCCAGGCATTGAATCAAACACGTACATCCAATGACATTGAGAACCAACCTTGGACATTTCATTGAACAAAGCCATTGCCTTTTCAACATTTCCTCCGCTCCCATATATATTAAGCATTGCTGTGTAACTCCAACAATCAGGCCTACATTTCTCTGATCCCTCCATCTCCCCAAAAAGCTTCTCAGCCTCTTCCTCCAATCCAATATCAGCACACATACTCAAAAATGTATTATACAAAATGAAATCCATTCGCTGACCTTTCAATCTTGTTATTCATATAAATAATCGTACCTAATTGAACTACGTGGCAGACGGTGAGGGCCCCACACCTTACATGGAAACATGGACAATCCTATTATACATATGGAGGCGACCCCATTTGGGCAGACGCCCTAGGTAGGAGCCAGTCTTGACGAGGAGATGGCGAGATCCTTAATAGATCTTCTGGTAAAATGATTGACAAGACAATTCACTGCCAACGTCGCCTCTGCACAACTACACGGTCAAATCCCACTTGCACAAACTAGGACTTATGGATGCGAAAGTAGTCCTAGTACTTAATGCCTTGATTGATTGATGCGTGTAACAAGAAGGGCCAATCGATCTGAAGAAGCCACGTGCCCTATCATTCGACGGGTCTCGTTTATCCTACTCAAGTATAAAAGTTTACACTTAGTGCCATTCAAGGTTAATGCAAGTTTAGACTTTCAAATCTATATTCTTGTTGCATATTTTTTTAGTATTCTACTCCCAAGCAGACCTTCTTTTTCGATTAGAGGTTCACGTTCTAGGCTCCCACACGCTCTAAATTATTCCTCTAGTTGGCTTAACTGTTTAATTAACGACTTATCCAAGTGTGTTGGAATTTAGCTATGTGGACGTAAGAGATTTTGGGATGTGTTGACCACATCATTAATGCAATTTTTGGGGTCAACAAATCTAATCCGTTGCCAAAGCTCCAATGCATCTCTAGTCCATCTAGCCTTACCATAAATCTTGATCAATGCTGTCAATGTCTTTTCATCTGGTGCGATCCCGGAATCCACCATCTCCTCGAATAAGCTCCTAGCCAATCCAGGCTTCCCGGACTTACCCATTGCCTCCAACAATGTGTTGTACACAACCAAATTGTGTTATACATGAAACAAGGGCATACAAGGGAGCTCCTTTTTGGGCTCCTGGACCAACTCATTTTTGGACCTTTTTCTATTACTATTTTTAAAAAGCAAGTCCTATCATGGACTCGTGAATGGCTCGGTTCGCTCTACAAACTAAAGAATCGAATCGAGACTAATTTGTAGACACGAGTCAAACTCATGCTCGATTTATCGCCACCCCAATAGAAGGGAAGCCCTAAGGCGAATTTTTGGTGTAATGGCATATTGCAGGGACTAGATGGGAGAAAGAAGATAAGTATGAGGACTAAATGGGTAAAATATTGGGTTGGAGATAGATGAAATTTGTGGGGACTCTATTTCACGAATGGCCGCCAAAATTACAAATTAATATATAAAATATCTTCTTTTTTATTTACTTATTTAATTACTAAAAGTATAAAGCATTACGTACAGATTCGACATGCAAACATTGACTTGGACTGGAAATAAAATAAAACTGAATTCTCGAGAGAAAAATAAATAAATGTTGAGCCAATTTATTTTTCAATAACTCCAATTAATCCTAACTCTATTTATCACCACTTATAAACAGTAAAAATGTAAGGTCAATTATCAGTCGCTTCAATAGCTGTTAGTCAAAGTCAAGATTTGAGACAAACTGTCAAACAAATACCTTAAAGACTACCTTAAAATTTCGCTTGCAATTTGTTGAAATTTTGGGAAAATTGCATTGGAGCTTTCCAATAATTCAAAATGTAACGAGCGTGCCATAAAAGCTTATTCTTTGTTGTAATGACTAGTCTTGGACCTTGTACGTTTATAGCAAGTGGATTGTCATTAGATGGTTCCGTCTAGTTGACAGTGTGATTGTCGCTAAATAACTCTATTCAATGAAATTTAATTGAATTATGCCATTCATCATTAGTTCGTTTTACTGTGCCTCTTGATTCATTGTCCAATACATAAAAATATATCACAACTCCATGGAACATTGATCGAAGGTCTCGCTACCACTTAGATGGGTGATGATGATCATCACTAATAATGAATGTGTTAATCCATTTGTACATAATGGATTGCCCCTTCTCACATAATGCACGGGGCCTGCGTGTATTTAAAAATTCCGATAATGTGATCCCCATCCCCATTGTGGGTAGTAGGTAAAAGATTCGATAAAAAAATTTAGTACATGTAGCATGATCTTGAATGAATATCATCATTGATATGTTTTATAAGTTCTCATCCCGTGACAATTATGCGCCTAATTTTGCTAAAAATTTGAACAGGGACTTAGGTGCTCTATTTGTAAAGCTTGAAAAGCTCATCTGTAATTTTCTTCGAAATTAAAATGTTGCATATATAGACAAAAAAAGAATCTAAAATGTAATCCAAGGTAAAAAGTCAAAAAAATAAAATAAAATGTATTTAAGCCCTTGAGGATGAGGCTTTGATTATCCACCGTTCATAGAAGATAATAGAAGAAAGAAGCAGGCATACTTAAAATCCCATTCCCTTCTTCCCTGTTGTGTCACATTGTCTAGTATTGGAGTTGAGTGGGAGAGGCAGCCATAGAGTACTATTTCAAATGGCACTAAGATTATGGGCTTCTTCAGCAGCAAATGCACTGAGAGTCTCCACTGCTGCTACTGCTTCAAGACCTGCCTTTTCTCTCTTAAGATCCTTTTCAACTGGTACGTATCGGTATAATGATCTCTGCAATTTGATTGACACGATTGACGATGAACATGGTGTTTATATTGCAGCGGTAGAGGGGTTGAAATATGCAACTTCACATGAATGGGTGAAGCATGAAGGTTCTGTGGCCACCGTTGGCATTACTGATCATGCTCAGGTCTTCTCTTTTCCTCTACAATAACTGTTTTATGTGTAGTTATGAACCTTAATCACAATACTATGACCAGTTCTTAATTGGCATATAAAGATGCCAAACTACACTCCCAAATCTGGTTCTATGCTAAATTTGACTTATAAAATTGTAGTTAGAATCCGAACTTTAGTCAAAACGAGCATCATGATAACTTTTTTGATGACGATTATAACCTTGATAAGAAATGAGGATATATTGTGAACAAGGACATAAATAAGTGATTGTCACTTTGATAATTGTCTTTCCTTTTGAAATTAACCAATTGTCAAAGTTCGTTTTCTAAGCGGATATTACATTATCCATAATGGTTATACTTTTAGCCACACTTCATCAATATGACAACTTGTATAATAATTATTATTGGGTTCATAGAAACCGATAACTAGTGTGACATGATAAGTAATGCTATAAGGAAAATGACGTTGACGTACGAGATTAAATGTGTTGATGATCAGGACCATCTCGGAGAAGTAGTATATGTGGAGCTTCCAGACGTTGGTAAAACTGCAACACAAGGAACAGGATTTGGATCTGTTGAGAGCGTGAAAGCCACCAGTGATGTCAATTCTCCCATTTCTGGGGAGATTATTGAGATCAACTCAAAGCTAACTGAAAATCCTGGATTGGTAATTCACTCATCTCCTACCCTCCTTTGTGTGTGTGTGTATCGTAAAAATTTCGGTTCGTTTCAACTTATGAACATTCTCTTGAATTGTCCCTGAACTTGAAGACGTTTATATTTAATCACTAATGCTTACCATGTTAGTATTTAAAAATCCATTTTTGAGGGACAAACCAGGTTTATAAACACATTGAATGCTGTACTAAGACAATTTTTAATTTTGGTTTGATGAAGATAAACTCAGGCCCATATGAAGATGGATGGATGATCAAGGTGAAGCCTAGTAATCCTTCAGAATTAGGCTCCTTAATGGATGCAAAACAGTACACAAAATTCTGTGAAGAAGAAGACGCTTCCCATTGATATTTTCACTATGCTTTTTTCTATTATTATGTAAAATTTATTTAATTAACAAGTTGTTGACGTTTGTTTTTACGACTCTTCACCTATCAACTTAATTTGCTATATTTGGCTTAAGCAGTTTGATTTATGTAATATGTTGATTCCCAACTTTTTTCAACTCATCCTTGTAATTAATTGAAACATTAATTTTTCTACTACCAAACCGAACTAGCCAGTTCAATTCTATTCACGATGAAAATGATCCGATTCTTGTCTTAGAATCGAGAATCAAATCCGGTTCTTAGCCCTTGAAAGTGATTTTTTAGAATCATTTTTCTTCGTATTCATTTTCAACCGCACTTTATATACATGTATTTCCTATTTCTCCATAACTTTTCCCTAATTTTTAATCACAAATACACGACAAAAAATCACTTTCAAACAAGCTCTTAGTTCTAGCTACAAAACCAAATTTTGATTCGGTTATAAAATTATTATTTTATAATCTCTCCGTACCATAATTAATATGAATTTAAATGAATTAATATGGATTTAAAATTGTTGTAAAATAATCAAGATACCAGAATAGCTTTGATACTAATTGTTGTGAAACAAACCATCAGATTGAGATGTTGAAATTATATGGCAAATAATAATATGAAGTATATGATCAAACAAAAGAATAAAATAGACAAGAATATAATTGAGGAATTAAAAGATTTTATTGACTCAAGAATAATAGAAAAGATAGAAAAATTACAATAGATCCTATAATTCTAGTAATGTATTTTCTCACACTTATGAAATTGTATAGAAAAGTCTAGTATTTATAGGGAACATGTATGTGATGTCCAACCCCCTAGTAGAGTTGTTGATGAAGTAAGATACCAAAAAATCAAGTCCAAAACAATTTTCAACTCCTAATGGGCTTCCAAAATAGAATTTTAACTTGACATAGAACTCCAATAACATTCCAAACTGAATTCTTTTTTATGTGCACTTTAATTAGAATTTTTCAATTACTTCAACAAGAAATTCGTGTTATACCCAAATTCTAACAAATTCCACCTTGACACGAATTCCACCAAGGAATGAACTGACTTCTTCAACAATTAAAAAAAATTAATTAATTTCTTCAACAAAACACAATACTCCACCTCTTTCAATGAATCCAAACACTATTCTCCAGAATTATCTCAGATCCCAAAAAATCGTAATGATTTTAAAATTTACCAAAATGGACTGTAACACACCCCAAAGTAAAATGAAACCCAAATACTTTAAAAAAAAAAGGCCCTTTATTAGATTGTACAACTTTCTACTCCACTTAAAACATGCTCAACAAAATCAGCATCCATATACCCTTTTCCATTGGATTCATCGATAGCAATTGAATACAATAGCACAGCAGGTGATGGTGGCAAAGCAACTTTATCCATATCTCCTGAACTCCAATGATCTGTATTATTCAAATCTAATCATTTATGAGTTCCTAAAGGTATTGTACCAAACTGAATGTCCACCACGGTCCTGAACTTTTGCTGATTGAATCTTCTAAATTCTGCACGATCTTGCAAGATGTATAACTGAGATATTTTCTGTCCCTTCAGTACAACTTGAGCACCCTTACAAACCTTCAAAACTCCACCTCCACCTCCACCAAAGAATTATAACATTTTGAATCAATAATAGACAACGAGATGATATCCTTCTTCAAATCTGGAACATGTCGAACCTGGCCAAGTGTTCTAATTGTCCCATTTGAAAGCTCCAATATGTCTGTACCAATTCCAGCAACTCAACAAAATGCGTTGTTTCTCATAACCACGACACAATTGGAAACAGTTTTATATGTAGCAAACAAGTCCTTATTAGGACACATACTGATTCAAGAATCCAATCATCTTCCGGTTTAAACTTAATGTCAGAAATAGTTAAGAGATCTCCATCACTTACAAAGTTCTCCGCGAGGCCTGCTTCGACTGAAGTATCTGAATATCTACTTGCAGTCATCCTTTATTTATTCTGCAATTTGTAGCAATACTTCTTTAAGTGCCCATTTTTCTTGCAGTAGTTACAAATCTGATTACTGAACTTAGACTTCGATCTATCCCTTCCAGAACCACCATGAGCAACCGGGCCTTCTACATCTCTGGCCTAAAAAATTAGATGTTTCATCTTCTCTTTTGAATACAAAGCATCATACACTTCCTTTATGGTGAGAGTACTACGACTATACAAAATCGTGTCTCTAAATGAAGAAAACGAAGCGGGCAACGAACATAATAGGAGCAAGGCCAAATTTTCTTCATCATACTCTACTTCCAAAGTTTCCAAATCAAGGACGATCTCCTTAAATACAGTCAGGTGATCTTCCAATGATCCTCATTCTACCATTCGATGAGAGTATAAACGGTGCTTGAAGTTCAACTTGCTTGTTAGATTTCCAAATCAAGGACAATTGCTCCAAGCTCAACCATAAAGCAGCTGCTGAATTCTCCTTCAAAACGTTTTGTAGAACATTATTCCATAGATGAAGAAGAATGTGAGAAATTGCCTTTTTATCCTTCCTTAATTTCTCCTTCGTAGTCAAAGTTGTGTACATCTTATCAATTTCCAGCAACGCATCATCAAAATCCAATTGTGCAAGTACTGCACGCATCTTAACCTGCTATAGTGAAAATCTAGTATTCCGATCCAAAAGAGGAATGTCATACTTCATGGAAGCCATCATCACGAACAAAAATTTCGAACAAATTAAACCATGTGCTCTTACGGAACTGCTAAACATGGGCTCTGATACCACTTGTAAAACAATCAAGATACCACAATAGCTCTGATACGAATTGTTGTGAAACAAACCACCGGATTGAAATATTGAAGTTATATGGTAAATAGTAATGAAGTATATGATCAAGTAAAAGGATAATAAAGACAAAAATATGGTGGAAGAATTAAGAGATTTTATTGACTCAAAAATAATGGAGAAGAGAGAAAAATCATAATAGATCCTATAATTCTAGTAATCTATTTTCTCACACTTACGAAATTGTATAAAAGAGCCTAGTATTTATACGAAACATGTAAGGAATGTCCAACTACTCCTAGTAGAGTTGTTGATGAAGTAGGATACCAAAAAATCAAGTTCAAAACAAATTTCAACTCCTAACGGGCTTTCAAAATAGAATTTCAACTTGATATATGACTCCAATAGCATTTCAAATTGAATTCTTTTTGACGTACATTTCAATTATAATTCTTCAATTACTTCAACAAGGAATTCGGATTACACCCAGATTCTAACAAAAATAATCACAATTTTGTCACGACATACAAGCAAAACAATAAAACTTTCCCCATTTCCGTTTCATCGATTTTGTATGCATCCTCTTTTTCTTCCGAAAAAAGGAGAACCAACATCTAGCGGACAAAACCAAGGGAAAAAATTCATGGTTCAGGGAACAAAAAATCGTAATGATTTTAAAATTTACCAAAAAAGACTGTAACACACCCCAAAGTAAAATGAAACCCAAATACTTTAAAAAAAAGGCCTCTTGTTAGATTGTACAACTTTCTACTTCACTTAAAACATGCTCAACAAAATCAGCATGCATATACCCTTTTCCGTTGGATCCATCCATAGTAATTGAATACAATAGCACAGCAGGTGATGGTGGCAAAGCAACTTTATCCATATCTCCTGAACTCTAATGATCTGTATTATTCAAATCTAACCATTTACGAGTTCCTAAAGGTATTGTACCAAACTGAATGTCCACCACGGTCCTGAACTTTTGCTGGTTGAATCTTCTAAATTCTGCACGATCTTGCAAGATGTATAACTGAAACCTTTTCTGTCCCTTCAGTACAACTTGGGCACCCTTACAAACCTTCAAAACTCCACCTCCACCAAAGAATTATAACATTTTGAATCAATAATAGACAACGAGATGAGATTCTTCTTCAAATCTGGAACATGTCGAACTTGGCCAAGTGTTCTAATTGTCCCATTTGAAAGTTTCAATCTGACTGTACCAATTCCAGCAACTCGACAAAATGCGTTGTTTCCCATAACCACGACACAATTGGAAACAGTTTTATATGTAACAAACAAGTCCTTATTAGGACACATACTGATTCAAGAATCCAATCATCTTCCGGTTTAAACTTAATGTCAGAAATAGCTAAGAGATCTCCATCACTTACAAAGTTCTCCGCGAGGCCTGCTTCGACTGAAGTATCTGAATATCTACTTGCAGTCATCCTTTATTTATTTTGCAATTTGTAGCAATACTTCTTTAAGTGCCCATTTTTCTTGCAGTAGTTACAAATCTGATTACTGAACTTAGACTTCGATCTATCCCTTCCAGGACCACCATGAGCAACAGGGCCTTCTACATCTCTGGCCTCAAAAATCAGATGCTTCATCTTCTCTTTTGAATACAAAGTATCATACACTTCCTCTATGGTGAGAGTACCACGACTATACAAAATCGTGTCTCTCAATGAAGAAAACGAAGCGGGCAACGAACATAATAGGTACAAGGCCAAATCTTCTTCATCATATTCTACTTCCAAAATTTCCAAATCAACGACGATCTCCTTAAATACAGCAAGGTGATCTTCCAATGATCCTCATTCTGCCATTCGGTGAGAGTATAAACGGTGCTTGAGGTTCAACTTGCTCGTTAGATTTCCAAATCAAGGACAATTGCTCCAAGTTCAACCATAAAACAGCTGCTGAATTCTCCTTCAAAACGTTTTGTAGAACATTATTCCATAGATGAAGATGAATGTGAGAAATTGCCTTCTTATCCTTCCGTAATTTCTCCTCCGTAGTCAAAGTTGCGTACATCTTATCAATTTCCAGCAATGCATCATCAAAATCCAATTGTGCAAGTACCGCACGCATCTTAACCTGCTATAGTGAAAATCTAGTATTCCGATCCAAAAGAGGAATGTCATACTTCATGGAAGCCTTCATCACGAACAAAAATTTCGAACAAATTAAACCATGTGCT